CCGGGGGTTGTTTTACCCTTTTTTCCCGGTAGGGGATTTAATAATTTCTTTTTCCAAATTTTTGGTTTCGCTTTTTATTTCCCCCATTTTTTGGTTTCCCACCCGAGAATTCCCCTAAATTTCGCTTAAATTCCCCCCCCCCCCCCCCCTCCCTCTTTCTCTTCCCCCCCCCCCCCCCCCCCGTATCGTGTCTTCATTTATGTTACCGTCTATTTTTATCGATAACACGATTATGGATTAAGGGCAGTATTAATGATGATTAAGAAAAAAAACCCATCACTTAAATAATAAATAAATGAATTAATAAATAAATACATTAAATAATAAATAAATCAATAATGCTAATGGTTATCATAATACAAATATTGATAATGAGAAGAAGAAGAAGAAGAAGAAGAAGAAGAAGAAGAAGAAGAAGAAGAAGAAGAAGAAGGAGAAGGAGAAGGAGAAGGAGAAGGAGAAGGAGAAGGAGAAGGAGGAGGAGGAGTGCCTTGATAGTCGAAGCTGACTTTATGCTGTTGAAGCTAGAAAGGTGAGCAGAGTAAGTTTGATTCCCTGTAAGGACTTCTCTGTTGACATCCACCCCTTAGCGCTCATATGACCTTATGCAGTTGCGAGTGCCGTAAAACCTCTACTAAAACCTCTAAGACTTCCCAAAGTTGACAACTATTTACTCTGTCGAATGCCTTTACTCGGTCCACGAAGACGATATTGAGGTCTTGTCATGTCCAATGGCAGTCTCACACAACTGTCCGAATGCTAAAACAAAGCTTGTCAGTACAACCCCTGCCTTTTCTGAAGCCAAACTGGGATTCATTGAGTTGAGTCTCTACAATAAGTCTCATTCTCATTTCCAGTATCTTGGCAAACGTTATATCCACACGGCTGAGAAGGGATATTCCTCTGTAGGCTCTGTGTTGTTTTTGTCGCCCAGGCCAGGTTAAATATCCTCCATAGCCAGAGTTCTCCGATATGGCAGCATAGTTTCATCTCTGCTGCTGTGATGTTTTCAAACACCTATCTCTTTGTTTGTGGGGCTTTTCTTTATAATATGTTGGGTTTCACCATTCTCTGGTTTCACTCAGCAGTAGTGCTGGTTCTGGAGTGGTTTTTTATCGGTGAGAAGCTGTTTGCTATTGTTTCTGCTGTAGGATTCAGCAGCTCCTGGAAATAGCGTTTCCATCTTTCCTTAATCTTTGGCTTTCTGAAAATAGGTTTTCCGTTCTCATCATTGACTACTTCAGTTGGGTTGAATGGTTCTTCCCGCATCCTCATGCTTTTTAAACTCTCTAGTAAAACTCTCTTGTTTGTTTGTTTGTTTAGTATAGGGTTTTACGGCGCTCGCAACTCCATAAGGTCATATGAGCGCGCGGGACACACCTAATACTTTTTTGTTGGTAGGAAATTTTGAATTTTGCCCGGGTGGCGCCGAAGCCTACTCTTATGGATTTTAGACCACCAAGGGATCTTTAACGTGCGCAACTTGCACACGGGCCCTCCGAGATTTTTCGCCCTTGTCCGAGAAGGCTAGGTGTAGATCTTTCCTACCAGAAGATCAGGGGTGTGGCAGAAAGACAGCAGTTAGGAGGAGCCAAGGAGTAGCAGTAGAAAGGCTGCAGAAAGAGTCAGGAGCCCAGAGGAGGGGGCAAAGGAGGTGAGGGGGTGGGGGCAGAAAGTGGAAATGAAAGCAGACAACAGAACATTGTTAGAGATCAGGAAAGGATGTGAAAGGAGACAATTTTAGAGAAGAAAATCTTTTGGTCGCTACCCGGAATCGAACCCGGGACCTTTGAATGAGAAGCGAACACCTTAACCTCTAGGCCACGAGAGCCCCCTAAAACTCTCTAGAGTCTTCTTTACATTTTGTTACCTGCTGTTCTCCATATACTGTCAAGGATCTGTTCTTAGCTTCTTTTACTACCCTTGATGTTTAACGGCGTTCCTTTCTGTATAGGATGTAATCTTCCTCTGTCTTTGATTTCTGCCACTTTTTGAATGCCCTTTTCTTCAGTTGGACCTCTTCCTTCACCTGGTCATTCCACCATATTGTTGTTTTCTTTTTCTGCCCTCTTGTTTTCCTGGTGCTGCACTTTTCTTTAAAAGGTCTGTACACACATGCTTTGAAGTGGCTTCATTCCTCTTCAATGTCTCCCAGTTGTTTGGGCAATTTGTGAAATACATCTTTCAAACGTTCATGTATCTTATCTTTGGTATTGTCATTTATATTTCTGAGGTTTACGACTTCTCGTCGTTTCTTTGCTTCTGGCCTTTTCCTGTTT